TCCTCCTCCTCCTCCTCCTCCTCCTCCTCCTCCTCCTCCTTCTCTCCTCCTCCTCCTCTTCCTGCCTGACCGCTCGGGAAGTGCCTGCCCTGCGGCCTCCGGCGGGCTCCGCCCTCGTGGGGAGCATGCGCTCTCAAGGGCCGGCCGGCGGTCCCAGAGCGCCACGGCCGCGCACAGGAGGGTAGTCGCCTCAGGCGGAGCTCGCGCCCCCTGAGAGCTCCATCTTCGCACGGCATGCGGAACGACAGACATCGGCAGACAGTCAACCCGTGTAGTAGGGGTGCGCGGTAAGGATGGGAGGACCTTGGGAGGGCCATGTTGACGGTTTTCGAACGAGATTGGCCAGCGGATGTCGCCAAGGAAGGGCCGAAGGGGCAAGGATGCAAGGGTAACCTTGGAAAGCTGCTCATGCTTCCTACGCGGGTTGACTGTGGAGAACGAGAAAACTTCAACCATGAAAGAACGAACGTATCCTGGAACCCCATATACTGCAAAGCCCCATCCTCCTACGATAAGAGAAAACAAACGTGCGCAAAACCTCACGAGAGACGCACATATCTGTGGCCGCGAGATCTCGCGGTCTGCATTCCAGGGGGCGATCCCGCGGATACGCGCTCGCACGGATACGTTCCGCGAGGGGCATCTGCGAAACAACGCCCCGCATCCGCGGGGTCGCGGGCCGGATATCTTCTCCGCCCATGACGAACATTAACTTTTGGAGGTCCGCGAGGACTCCTTGACGCGGCGCTGGACCCACCGTCCCCGGCGCGCGCAACGCGCCAGGGAGGGGGCAGCGGCGCCGCCGAGGGGGAAGGTCCAGCGCAGAGCCAAGGAATCCGCGAGGAACTCCGAGAGAGTACTCCGAGTTTCTTGAGAAGCGTCGGGGGGGCGTCACGCCCGCCGACAGCCCCACGTCGACCCCCGTCGTGAACAGCCACCGCGCGCCGAAGGTGCTCCGGCCCCCGTCGCGGCGCGACGACGAGGCGAGATCGACCCCCGTCGGAAAAGTACCCCCCCGCGCGTATTAGGAAACCAAGGAGTACACGCCGGTCGGAAGAAGTGGGTAGAAGTAATAAGGTGTTGAAGTAGGGGTCGCCGTGGCTCCCGACCCGCGGGCTCAATCGGAGCAGTTGCTTCGGAGGTGGCCTCTGCGCGACACCAAGAGGGCCCGATGGCCCCAGAGAGGGCCCAGCAAGGGCCACGAGAGGGCGTCGAAGGCCGCTGAGGCCGTTTCTGATCTTGCTCTGGAATGACAGAAGGACGTACACGTACCCGTCGATCGGAAGGAGTGGCTAGAAACATTAAGTAGGAAAGCGTTGAAGATAGATTGGGCTTCCACCCGCCCCCTGAGAGGCCCCTGAGAGGCCCCAAAAAGCCTTCCGCATACCCCCAAGAGTGAAGAGGCCCCAGAGAGGCATCCGAAGAGACCCTCAGATTCATCCAAGAGGCTCCTGACCAAAGATATAACTTCCACGATCGTCTCAAACACTCACTCCATGTGGGGGTCGGCGGGATTGCGCAAGCCACTTGAACAGATTGGGCTTCCGCCCGGGTTCCGAGGACTAGGGCGGAGGGAATACCACTCGACCCTTGCAGTAGAAAGGCGCTCTGCAGTAATTAGGTCCATGTGCGTGTGTCGTGGATGGTTGCGCCGTGGATGGGGTGGGGCGTAGACGTGGCGCGAGCGACCACGGCTGCTGTGCAGGCCAGCCGTGGGGCGGCGCTTCATGGCGCCATCGGCCGCCATGATCTCCCGGCCGCGTGGCAGCAGCTCAGTGCGCGCGGCCACGAGGGAGTGGCTGGCGGTGCGGCGCGGGCTGGCTGCCGCTCCGGAGCGGCCGCACGCGGCGGCAGCATGGCAGGCCGACCGCCCTCCCACAGCCGGCGGCGGGGGCGAGGCGGCGGACGCTGCGGCGGACGCGGCGTTGCTCAGGTTTCGGCGGCCACGCAGCTTCCTGCACGCTCACAAGCGATCGGGAGGAGCGGCGCGGGGCGTCGCGCAAGCCACCTCGATTGCAATGCGTGCCGCGGACGCCGCCCACGATGGGCGCAGGACCTCGCGGCGGTCACCCTTGAGGGAGGGGTTCCGCAGGGCCTGTTGGATCGCGCGGAGGAGGATGGGCGGCGGGCCAACGCTGCGGCCTGGGCGCGCCGTCGCGAAGGCTGGCGGTTGTGGGCCCACGACTGTCAGACGAACCGGCAGGGCCGGCTCTAACGGTGGATCCGCGGAGGCGGCACTTTGGACGTGGCGCTCGTGCCAAATCCAGCGGACGAGCAGCGGCAACCGCGCGAAGCGCTCGACGAAGGTTGGTTGCAGAAGCTGGACGGTTGCTTTCTAAAGCTGGAGGGGCCGTGCTTCTTGACAGACGTCCCATTTGGTTGTGCCCATTCTGTACCGGATGTGGGCGGTGAGGCGCGCACGCCTGCTCCCGCAGCGGCGGCTGAGCTGGGGAGGCGCCGACGCCAGGCGCCGCGCGAAAGGGCTCGCTTGGGGGCGCGCTGGAGTTGGACGCGGCGGCGGCCCTGGGGGAGACCATCGCAGGCGCGGCACGGGACTGGCGCAAGGCATACGACCATTTTGGGCTGCACTCGCCCCACGCCAGCCTGCAGCAGGCTTGAGTGCCGCGCCGGGTGGTGGCGCCGGCCTTGGCGGCCTGAGCGGCGCAACGATGGGTGCGGGTAGGCCCGGCGATCAACTAGCCGTGGACGCCGACCAGCGGCATGTTCCCCCCTGGATGTTTTTTTTCTCAGCGTGCTGACCTGGCCTTGGCTGCGGCGTTGCGGCAAGATCGACGATTGCCTCCAGCAGAGGGTTTGCGTCGACGGTTTCAGTTTGGGCGCGCGGCACTGGGCGCGAGGCGGTCGATGTTGGGGTGGCCGTGCGCGCGGCGTTCCGATTCACTGCGGAGTTCGACACAGCCATGGACTGGCGTCTCAACAGAGACACTAGCCGTCAGTTCGCGAACAACGCCTGTCTCCGCCGCTGGCTCTGCTCGCAACCCCCGAGTGTTGCTGCCAGCTGTGGCATCCGTGACCTTGGCGTCGTGTCCACTGCAAGGCGAAGCCGCCGCCGCGCTGATTCGAATGGCGGCAGGGCGGTTCTCCCGCATCGCCCGGCGGCGTCGTCGCTGTCGCCGTCGCCGTCGCCGTCGTCGTCGAAACCTCCGGAGTCTCCCGGGAACCTCCATGGACCTCTATGGGCCTCCGATGCCTTTTACAAAGCACGCCATGGAAACCTCGAAGGGAACCTCGGGTGGCCTGGACGTCGTCGTCGCCGTCGCCGTCGCCGACGTCGTCGTCGCAGTCGGCGGCGTCGTTGTCGTCGGCGTCGCCATCGTCGTCGCTCTCGCGCCGCGAACGACTGAGCCCCCCGGCGCGGGCGCAATCGTGGAGGGAGCGCGCGGACTCATGTCCGAGGGGGCGCCCTCGGCGACGCGGGGCGCGTTCGGATGCGCGCCCCTTGTCTGGCAGGGTACACAGACGTGCGCACGCGCGCGAACTCGCCCCACGAGCGGGCAGCTACACACGAATATGTTGATTGTGGATCTGATCATGATGACGATGATGACGATGACGCCCGAATGGTCAAATTGTTGGGGTTTACGTTCCATGCGCGGGATCACACGCACGCAAGGCGAGCGCACTCGCACCCAACGCACGCCATCGCGACTGAAACGCGCCAGGAAGTGAAACAGCTGAGCTTCAACGCCGGATTGCGTGCCGAAGGCGCGCCCGCGGGCCTGCCTTGCGAAACGTACATATTGAGGCCCGCCACCCCTTGCATCTCCGACCCTCTACCAAGTGGCACGAGGTCCGCCGCGCCGAGTTGCGGGCGGGCGACTTAAGCGAGGCCGCCCTGCTGGCACGCCTGCCCCTGGGGGTCGAGCTCTCTGGCGTGCTACCCACGGACGCTCGCCTGGCCGCGCTCGCTGCGCTGGCCCAGCAGCAGCTGCCGCCGCCCCCGCTGCCGCCCCTGGCCGTGGCCCCCGGGCAGGCCCGAGTGCGGGCATTGAGCGACGGCGCTTGCGAGCGCCCCACTGCTTCGTTGCTGGCCCGGACCGGCTGAGGAGTGCGCTTGCACTGCAGGGGCCCAACGGCGTGTCGCGGCGCTGCAGCGGGCCTGTCGGCGAGGCCCAGACCGCGCAGCGCACAAAGCTCAGCGCGACCGTGGACGCCGTCAGCGAAGCTGGGGCCCCCTTGGAGCTGGTCTCCGACTCCAAATACGTGTGCCACGGGATCGCGGCGCTGCATGCCAGCGCGGGCCCCCGCGAGTGGAAGCACGGAGACTTATGTGAGGTCCTGACGCCGCATTGCCAAAGCGGCTACGTCACAGCGCGATGGGTGAAGGGGCACCTCGACGAGGAGGCCGCGGCGGCCCGTCGCCTCGAAGGGTCGCGCGGGCAACGCGGACGCCGACGAGCTGGCGGGGCCTTTGCACGCAGCGGCAAGTGCAGCTGCACGCGCTCTGGGTGCTCCAGCGTTTGCTGGCGGCCGTGGAGGTTGCCGCCTTGCGGACGAACCACGAAGCCACGGGGCCACGGGGTCCCCGGGTGCGCCGACGCTGGGCGGGCGGGCCGCCGCGCAAGCGCGACGCTGGGCGGGTGCGCCGACGCTGGGCGGGCATTCCCTGCCCACACCGGCCAGCAGCAGCGCGGGCCACCAGCGCAAGCGGCAGCGGCAGGCGCGCCCGCAGGACGGCCGCCCCCCCGCCGCCGCCGGCCGTGGGCTGCGGGGCAAGGACTGCCACGGCGAGGCGCCACCGAGGCCGCCAGGGCCTTGTTCGAGGGCGGCGCGTGGGCGCCGCACGTGGCGTCGCAAGGCCCCAGCATGGGTCGCCGGCCTCCCGTGCGGGGCGGCGGCCCCGCGCTGGCCGGTGCCGGCGGCCTGGCCCTGCCCTGGCCGCGCCGCCGCGCTGTTGCTGGTGCAAAAGGAGCGGGCTGGGGGGCCCGTGGCGGCTTGGCGCGCGGCGCTGCGACGGCGGCTCGCGTCGCAGGCCGGGCCGCTGGATTGAGGCTAACGCTGGCGGCTCCGAGTCGAGCTGCCCCGTCTTGTTTAAGCCCCCTCCTCCCACCCGCATGTCTCCCCCCCTCCCCGCGCCACAGGGCTTCTTCGCACTTGTAACAGAAGTGTGTGTCTGTGTGTGTGTGTCGATGTTGAGAGGCCGGCCTTCTTCCGCCCTTTCTCTGTTGAGTAAAGCTGTGCGCGTCCCGCTTAGCTTTCAGCGGAAGAGGTTCGCTCTCGCCCCGCAAATCAAAAAAGTGTGTCGATGGTGCCTGTTCGCTGGCACTACCTACTCCTGCTCTTCCTCGTGCTTTGTGTCCGCTTCTACGGTTTCTGCTACTTCTAACCGGGTGCCCGAGACCATCCGTCCGAGTCACCTCATCCTCTATCCACTCACTGTGGCGGTTTGGAGGATCGTGGCGATGGTGCAGGTACACCCCACAATGACCAAGGCGCTGGAGTGTTGCCCCGCACTTGAGCCATCAAACTACACTATGGACCAGCATAGACAATGCACATAGGAATCGGAGAGGCACCGATAAGGCAGCCGCGACGCTTGTCACACAGCACAAGGGAGGGCATCAGAGAACATGTGCATGACGATTCGCTGAATCGCAGACGTATCGCGAACCCGGAACGGCGTCATGCGTCCTGGAAGGAGACACGGAAGTGGGGTAGAGTACCACAGGATCCCGACATCGGGAGGTCGAAGAGACGAGCACAGGCAATTCTGCACGCTTGCGCTTCTTTTCCTAAACGAAGAGCGAACCTCAGAAACGCTCTGTCGCAAACGGGCGAACTCGCGTGAGGCCTTTGACGCATGCCCAACATCAACACCTGGATGGTTCCTGTACCGTAAAGGCACAGCATGACGTCAGCGTCGATACTGTGGTGAACAAGCCACTGGGTCAGCCTAAGTACCAGAAGCGGGCGTGGTTGATTGATTCTAGAATCTACCACTTAGAAGAATACAATGTGAGTTCAATCGGGTGAGAGCGTAAATTAAACCTGCGCTGGTATCAACGACATCCTGACCCTGGCAGGACTCTCCCGTGAAAAGCATCGAATGAGTACCAGCCTTATCCCCCAGATATCGTAATTCGCCGGCCCAACGGGCCAGGGCGTGCTAAGATCTCCGGTACCTGGTTAACAGTATTTCTAATTCGCGCGCGCGGGGCGGCCCCTGGGGGTCCCCGGGCGAAAAGTACCCCGGCAAGGTCCCGGCAAGTCCCCGGCAAGTCCCCGGCAAGGTCGGGTCAGAGATGCTGGAGTTCTGTTTCGGAGTCCAAGAGGGCTCCAGATCGGTCCAAGAGGGCCCCGAGAAGCTTTCTAGACGGTCCAAGAGAGGCCCGAGACGGCCAAAGATCGCCCGAAGACGCCCCAGATGGCCCCAAGACAGCCCAAGAGGCCTCCAAGACGCTCCAAGGGCCTTCCAAGAGGCCTCCGAAGAGGGCCCCAAGTTGCCAAAATCGTTGATTTTCATTTGTTGTTTCTATGTTTTTTTGCGTTCTGGCCTTTTCGCTTCCGGACGCTCCAAGAGGGCCCAAGAGGCCTTCAAGACTGCTCCATGACGGCCCACGAGGCTCCCAAGACGGCCCCGGAGCGGCCCAAGAGCGCCCCCCAGACGGCCCAAGTGCTGCCCAAGGCGGACCAAGAGGCCCCAAGACGGGCCCAAGAGGGGCTCAAGAAGGGAACCGAGAACTGAAAAATCGAGCCCTCCGCCCCAGAAGGCGCCCAGGACCCCGAAAGAGGCCCCAAGAGACTCTCCAAGACACCCCCAAGACGCCCCTATAAGCTCCCGTGAGGCCCCAAGAGGACCAACAACGTCAGGCCCCAGGCCCCAAGAAGACCAACAAATACCGCCAAGAGCCCGCCGAAAGCCCCCCAAGAGACCGTCACGAGAGCTCAGGAGGCCCCCTGGAGGCCTCCCGAGTTCTCCAAGAGGCCTAAAAAGACGCGCCAAGAGGCCCCAAACGGCCTCACCGAGGCTCCAAGAGGCCACGAACGCGCAAGCAAACGCCTGCGATGGCACAATACGGGCCGGCGGAATGAGCGAAGCGATTAAATAATCTTCCATCCTCCAAAGGACCCCAAGAGACGAGAGGGAAGACAGTGGGGCACCGACTCAGGGAGGGAAACATCCACTTGGAATCGTCGATACATCGCCCATACATCGGCTACATAACCAAGCCCCCGACAGCGAATACACCACCTCCTGGGCGGGATGGGCTGTCGGGCACCTGCAGGCGATGAGTGGACGGTTGGGGGTCGGAAGCAAGAAGCAGGTCGGCCATGACAGACTGGTTCCACAAGGGGGATCTACGCACGTCGTGGATCACCGTGGACGCCCATCGGTCTTGGCCAAGGATCTTTCCGAGCAACGGCGCCGGCTCAACACCCTGCCAAATACTCCAGATTTCGTAATAAAAGGGAGGGGGTCTGGACCCTCCAAGACAAGCCATTCCAGACCTCCCCCGTGGGGGAACCCTCCAAAACATCGTCCCCAGACCCCCCCAGGCCCTCCAAGATAGCCTGGAAGAGACCCCCCCCCGAAATGATACCCCCCCTCCCTTTCTCACGAAATCTGGGGCACACATCGCATTCCTTGCTGTCTCTGCGTGCGGAGTCACGAGTCCTTCGTGACCGTCGCGCTCCCCAGGCTGCAGGCGATGAGTGGGCGCTTGGGGGTCGATGCGGCCCACCCTGTCCGATGCCCCTCGCTCCGCTGCCCCGGGCAACTTTGAAGGGGCCCCAGGACACACAAATAAATACACACAAATAAAAACATCCCCCATATTTTCCCATATTTTCTGGGTTTCTGTCTTCGCCCCCACTGCCCATATTTTCCCATGTTTTCTGGGGGATCGACGATTAATTGTGTCTGTGTGTTTTTTTCCTCCTGAAACTTCTCTCGGCCTGGCGCCTTCCGCCTCCGGTCCGCCTCGCCCCCCCTTGGCGTGCCGAGCCGCCCCAAAACACAGAGAAGGGGCGGTGACGCCGCCGACGACCAGGTCGCCGACGACCGTGCCACCGCCGACGACGTCGACGGCGAGGACGCGGAGGGCGACGAGGAAGACCGCCACGGGCCCACGACAGAACGAGGACGAGGACGAGGACGACGACGACGACGACGACGAAGACGACGACGACGACGACGACGAGGACGAGGACGACGACGACGCCGACGACGACGACGACGACGACGAGGACGACGACGACGACGACGACGACGAGGACGACGACGACGACGACGACGACGACGACGACGACGACGACGACGACGACGACGACGACGAGGACGACGACGACGACGACGGCGGCGGCGGCGGCGGCGGCGGCGGCGGCGGCGCGCTGGGCCGCTTCGCCCAGGCCGCTCGCCGGAGGCGCTGCCGCTGCTGGCCGGGCAGCGCCTGCGCTCAGGAGGGGGGGCCCCGTTCCTAGCCCCTTATGTTGGTCCTGGCCCAGGTCCTCCTCCCCAGTTCCTCGCCCTCCCCCCCTCCCTCCCTCCCTCCCTCCCTCCTCTTCCCCCTCTTCCCTCTCCTCCGCCCTTTTCCTCCTCCCTCCAACCCTCCTCCCTCCTCCTCCTCCCCCTCCTCCTCGACTCTGCAGAGAATCCCTCCCTGTCGCACCCCCCGGCCGGCCGAAGGAGCCGGCCGGGCGTTTCGCCTGAGATCCCCTCACATGCGGGCGCGCGTCCAGCTCCTCCTCCTCCTCCTCCTCCTCCTCTCTCCTCCTCCTCTTCCTCCTCCTCCTCCTCCTCTTCCTTTCTTCCTCCCCCTCCTCCTCCTCCTCCTCCTCCTCCTCCTCCTCCTCCTCCTCCTGCGATGCTCTCGCATTCGCGCCGCTCACATTCGCATTTCAGATGCCAGAACTTCCCGGGTGGAGGGGGGGGCGGTCGGTGTTCGCAGTGTGGCTCTCGCCTTGGCGCCACCCACATTCGTTTTTCACAACCTGCAAGGGCTTCACGGATGGAGGGCGCGTCCTGGCCAACATGTGGCTCTCACCTTTGGCGCCCCGCACATTCGTCGCAAAAGCTTGCAAAACCTTCGCTGATGCAGGGCTGCTCCTTTTCAAAATATGTCTCTCGCCTGAGCGCCGCGCCACATTCGTTTCAAAAGTTTGCAAGGGCTTCACTGAAAGAGGGCTGTTCCTCTTCAACATGCGGCTCTCGCTTTAGCGCGCTGACTGACGGATTGGGGGTCGACGCATCCCTCCCTATGCTTATCCCCCATTCATCGTTACCCCTGATATGTCTCTCTCTCGGAAGCCGGGCAAGGGCTGCTAAATCCGTGGCTGCTAAAATCGACCTCCGGGAAGTTGTCTTCGTCCTTCCGGGAAGAAGCCCGTTGACTGTTTCGCGCGCCGCGCCTCATTCCGGGAAGTTGATGATTTCCTTCCGGGAGGGCCGCTTTGGCAGCCACGGTGTTGGCAGCCCTCGCCCAACTTTCGACGCTCTCTCTCTCTCTCTCTCTCTCCCTCCCTCCCTCCCTCCCTCCCTCCCTCCCTCCCTCTCCATCTGCATCGGCCTCTGCTCCGGGCGGCGTGGGGGGGGGGGAGGCGAGGAAAGAGCTCATCCTCGGGCGCAGCCTTAAGGCCCTGGGCAGGGTGGGGGGCTGCGGCACGATGGCGCACCAGCGCATCCCACCCCCGACAGTCCCCTCGGGGGGGGGATGCGTGCGCGAGCTCTTTCTCAGCACCATGTTGTTTTCTTTTTGTTGTTCTCTCTCTCTCTCTCTCTGCTCTCTCGCTCTCTGGACGGTTGGGGGTCCATGCGCACCCCCCTGTGATGCCCCCCGATCGTTGCCTCTGATATATGTGTATACACCTACATCCATACATACATACACACATACGTACATACATGCATGCATGCATGCATGCATGCATGCATGCATGCATGCATACATACATACATACATACATACATACATACATACGCAAATACACACACATACATGCATACATCCATCCATCCATCCATCCATCCATCCATCCATCCATGCATGCATGCATGCATGCATGCATGCATGCATGCATGCATGCATACATACATACATACATACATACATACATACATACATACATACATACAGGCATACATACATACATACATACATACATACATACATACATACATGTTTGTCTGTCTTGTTCTTTCGTCCTAGCTCTATCTCTCTCTCTCTCTCTCTCTCTCTCTCTCTGCGTCTCTCTCGCTCTGCATCGGCATCTGCTCTTGACGGCGTGGGGGTGGAGGCGAAGAGGGGGCTCTCTCTCTCTCTCTCTCTCTCGGGCGCAGCCGAGGCAGGGTGGGGGGGGGCCTGGGACACGAGCACCACGAGCGCGCACCAGCGCATCTCACCCCCTACAATCCACTTGGGGGGGGGATGCGTGCGCGCTTCCTCTGGACGATTGGGGGTCGATGCCGCCCCCTACCTTTTGCCCTGATTTTCTCTCTTCTCTTCTCTCTCTCCCTCTCCCTCTGCGTCGGCCTCTGCCCCCCCCCCCTCCCTCTCCCTCTCCCCTGCCCCCTGCATGCCCTCTCCTCCCCTCTCTCCTCATCCTCCCCCTCCTCCCTTTTGCGTGCCCCTGCCCCTCTTCAATCGGCTGCACGCAAGAGTGACCCTGGGTAAGACTGACCTTTGGCGCGCGGCTTTTTAGGGGGCCGCGGGGGGACCAAACTTGGGCGCGCAACCAGCGGCTACTGCGTCGTTTTCGGCCATCTGGGGGCCCATCTGTACCCGCACCAGGTCACTCCGGCGAAAGGTCACTCTTACGTCGAGTCGATTCAACACTCCCTCCCTCTCCATTTGTATCCGCCCCTGCCCTGGCCTCTGCCGCCACCTCCCCGCCTCCGCCTCCCGGCCCTCGCCGCCTCCGCCTCTGCCGACCCCCCCCCAGGGCCCTGGGCCCCGTCCCTGCCTGGCCCTCCTCCAGGGCGTCGGGAGACCGACCCCCTTCGTGGCCGCGGATCCCCGGCGCAGCTCGAGAAACTGCTCAGGCTGGCGCCCAAGAGAGGCCCGCAGATGGCGTCCAGGATGGCGTCCCCGACCGCGTCCCGGATGGCGTCCCAGAAGGCGTTCCAGATGGCGTCCCAGATGGCGTCCCGGACGGCGCAGATGAGCAACCATACAAAACGGGTCTTACCCGAGATGGCACGGCGACCCAACGCCGCAGCTTACGCAGGCCGCCAGCGCGGCACGGCTTCATTTGAGTCGGGAGCGCCTACGCGCGCCCACGCCTGGGCGGCTTACGCGCCAACGTCGGCGAAGACAACCAAACTGTTGCGCTCATAGATGGCGTCCCGGATGGCGTCCCGGATCGCGCCCAGGATGGCGCCCAGGATGGAGTCCAGGATGGCGTCCGCGAGGGCGTCGTGGATGGCGCCCCGGATGGCGTCCAAGAGGGCCTGCGGGATGGCGTCCAGGAAGGCGTCCGGGACGGCGTCTGGGAAGGCATCGGGCAGGGCGCCCCGGAACGGGGGCCCCGAGGCCCACACCGCGCAACCATGTTACGCTGGGCGTGCTCGCCCGGTCTGCGGGCCTTCGCAGGTCGACGCGGCTCGAGGCGTGCCGCGCGCGGAGGGTCCAGGGATGCGGCTGTGACTTCTCCTGGCGGTGACGCCACTTCTCCGCGACGTCGGATCTCGGGGCTTGTCCACCGAAGCCCTCCCGTACGACCCGGGCAACGGGACGACGCCGCCCAATCCATGGCGACGCGGAGACCGAAGGGCGGCCGAGCAAGAAGCGAAGACGATTCCGATCGAAACCGAATCGAGCGAACGCAGCTGAGGACGCACCGGCTCAGCTGCGACGGACCAACGGACAAAACCGAAGCGAACGAACGCAACCGGTTGCGACGCAGCTGTTCACCAAACCGTGGACACCCTGCGTAATGAGGGCTGGCGCACGGGTCGTGCCACCTGTGTAGCTAGCTGACCGGGGCCAACGCACACACATATACTTTGAGCTAACACACGGATTGAAGATCCTGGACAGGTGTTTGGCCTTAACCTTTTCCGTCTCCCTCCCGCCCGCCCCCCTCTGGCATGTGTTTCATCATCTTGGCCCCCTCGGGCCTGCAGCACCGCGGGGGGTGCATGGGCGAAGTACGAGACGAAGAGGAGGGAGGGCGCACTGATCATCTGTTCGCGTCGACTTCACTCGAACGCCAGGCATGGCCACGGGCGAACAATACCATAACTGATACCGGGTAATGCTAACACACCCACCCCTGTGGATCCCGTGAGGGCGCCCTCACGGCGCCAAGGTGCTACAGCCGAGGGTCCTCGGACATGTGTGAGCTCAAACGTGTGACTGTTCGCCGAGACCCTTCGTTACGACGCAGGTGGCGGAACGAGAGTCGACACAGGCTGCGCGCTATCCGCGAAGCCGAACGAAGTTGCATCGGCGGCGAAGCAGGGGTCGTCTGCGCTAGCGGAAAGGCCTAGGCCTAAACGGGGGTGCCGTTAGAGCCAAAAGTGTGCCACCGCACAGGAAGGGGACGAGGCGGAGGACGTGGCCGAAAAAGGGGCCCGAGGGAGTGAGCCACGCAGGGGGACGGGTCACGCCCCGGCGCGGCCAGCCCCGCCGGCGGGCCCGCGGCGGCTGCTGCACCAGTCAAACGAGGTCAACACGCGTTTGGGCTAAGACGCACGTCCTGAGGAGCACCGACGCAGAAGCGGCCACTGCCCGAGCCGATCCGACAGGACTCCCCCTATCTGCCTCATCGGGCCCCGACGAGGGCCGGAAGGCGCTCCGCGGGCACCGACCGCAGGGGCCTCGAGCCGTGCGCCCTCGAACCCTGGCGACCTCGAGCGCCCGCTGCCCGGATTCGCCGTCGACGCGGGAGGGAGCGAGCATCGTGTTACCGACCCCTGTCCCCACGGGCGTGGCCCGGGCCCCGCTGGTCGATGCGCACCCCTAGATGGGGATGTAGGCGGCCTCCTTCGAGCTCCGAGGGCAGGTCCCCAACTGGGGCAGGGAGAGCCCAGGATCGAATCGATGAGCCGGATCGGCAATCGAAATGAAGCGTATCGGCGGAAATCGGCAGCCGAGTCAGAAAAAGTCGAGTCGGCGGAAATCGGAAGGCTCGTAGGCCTCAATTGAGAAATCGGAGCCAAAGTCGGAATCCGAAGTCGAATCGGAATCGGGAACCGTCGAAACCGAATTGAATCGAACCGGGAATCGAAACGAGCCCTGCCTGGGGTGACGGGATAGTGGGGGTCGGGATGGGAATGGGGATGGGGACAGGGATCGGTTGAAAGGGAGATCCTTGCGTTCTCCCTACCCCTCCTAGAGAGGGGGGGGGGCAGCGGCGCCTTGTCCGTGTCGCTGCGCACCACCTATGGGGGCGGGCGGTGGGGCGGGGAGGGGGAGAAGTACAGTCAACCTGTGTAACTCGGACGCGCGATGAGGCTGCCAGGGCCTTGGAAGGCCATGCCGACTCTGTGCGAGCGGGGCGCAGCCAGCGACAGCGACCAAGGGGATGTGCCGAAGGAGAAAGCTGCAAGGGTAACCTTGGAAAGTCGTTCACCCTTACTACAGGGCAATTTTTAATACATCGAATTGTTTTAAATATAGGATTTAAATACACGAGTAACTTATGAGTACAGTCATGCATAAACTCACCCTTGTATTGAATAATCAACCCTTTATTTTTGATACATGGTCCGCACGCGGAGCATGTATTTCGGGAATGGCCAGACCCCCTTTAGTAAAACGTGGTTGTGAAAACGACCTGAGGCCCAAACCTGGCGGGCGCAAGCCTGGAAAATAACGGCCACGGCGCCCTCTGGAGAACCGAAAATCCGACGGCGCCCTCTAACGGACAATTCACTTATCGACGTGTCACTGTTGGGGGTTCTGTCCACCCCCGAGTATTAAGAACGGCACTGTATGCGGGCTGACTGTGGTGTCGGGAGGCAGTTCCTGGGGAGGCCCTCGTTGGGACGCGCTCGGGGGCTGGGCTGCGAAGCCCGACCAGTGGGCCACTCGGCCCGGCGGGCCCAGCCTCGCGCCCAGGATTGAGCCCGATCTGGCTGGACTAAAATGAAGGGGCCCTGGGACACACAAATAAATACACACAAATAAAACGGCTCCCCATATTTTCTCATATTTTCTGGGTTTTCGTCTTCCCCCCACTTCCCATAGTTTCCCACATTGTCGGGACGATTCACTGTGTCTGTGTGTGTTTTCCCCCATCATACAAAAAGATCTAGCGGAACTCAACGGGATTATGCCGGATTGGGCTGGTGCTGGATCACGGCTACACCAGCGCCGATGCAGACCTCAGCCTCATCAGACAAGCCAGGGACTCGGCCTGTGTCGGGGCTTCCGTTTTCTGCTGGTCCTGGGGCCCGGAGGGCAAGGCGGACTGCGCCCACGAGGAGGACGAGGGCGACGAGGACGAAGGGGGGGGAGGAAGAGGACGACGACGAGGGGGCGGAGAGCCAGCGTCCCCATCCGTTCGATTGGCTCAGAACAAAGGCAAGGGCAGCAGGGAGAAACGCCTCGGAGTCACATCGGAGCCGGACGGGGGCAATCTGGGGGTCAACTGGGATTCCACTCCTCCTCCTCCTCCTTCTCCTCCTCCTCCTCCTCCTCCTCCTCTTCTCTCTCTCCTCCTCCTCCTCCTCCTCCTCCTCTCCTCCTCTCCCCTACCCCTCTCTCTCCTCCTCCTCTCCTCCTCCTCCTCCTCCTCCTCATCCTCCTCCTCTCCTCTCCCTCCTCTCCTCCTCCTCTCCTTCCTCTCCTCTCTCCTCTATTCCTCCTCTCCTCCTCTCCTCCTCCTATCCTCCGCCTCCTCCTCCTCCTCCTCCTCCTCCTTCCTCCTCCTTCCTCCTCCTCTTCCTCTAACTCCTCCCTCCTCCTCCTCCTCCTCCTCCTTCCTCCTCCTCCTCCTCCTCCTCCTCCTCCTCCGCCTGCCTCTCCCTCCTCCCTGATCCTCCGTCATCCGCCCTGCTCCCTGCTCCTCCCCCCTTCCACCCTCATCGTGCTCCAACCCCCCGCCGCGGCGGGCGCGGCTCGGCCGCGCGCCAGGAGCGGGTCCAGGACGTCCACGAACATGTCCCTCCAGCCCTGCGCGGCGGAGGCGGGGCGTCGGGCAGCCTCCCCCAAGGGGGGAGCTGGGCATCGCTCGGACGTCCATTCCCTGTTTTTTTTTCGCTTTCGTGCGTGTTTTTCTCGCCAAGTGATCAAGGATGCTCCTCGATGGTCCTCGCCGAAGGAGAAACTGCACACGTCCGAGCGATGCCAAGGGAAAGGAGGAGGGGTAAGGATAGAGAATAAAAAACCAACGTTGCACGCAACCGCGCCCCCCCAACACACACACACACACACACACACACACACACACACACACGCGCACGCACACACACACACACACACACACACACACACGCACGCACGCACGCACGCACGCACGCACGCACGCACGCACGCACGCACGCACGCACGCACGCACGCACGCACGCACGCACGCACGCACGCACGCACGCACGAACACACGAACACACGCACACACACACACACACATGCACACACATTCTCACAGAGGCCGGTCCCGGGCCGGCGGCGCCCGACACGACCGCCACCACGGGGGCGGAGGGGGCAGACAGGAGGGAGAGCGAAGGAGGAGAGGGAGAAGAAGCAGGAGGAAATGGAGAGAGACCAGGAGGAGGAGGAGGAGGAGGAGGAGGAGGAGGAGGAGGAGGAGGAGGAGGAGGAAGGGGACTGACGTCCTCAAGAGCGACAAGGTCGAATGTCACAACGTACAAGTCCAGGTCTCACCACGCACTAACGATGTGCTCAGGGCAGACGACAAGGCTTGCATCCAAGTTCCCATGAGCATGCAGTACTACATCCCTGCATGTTTAATACATGGTCCGCACGCGGAGCATGTATTAAAAACGGCACTGTAGACTCGTGGGCGCGCTGGCAGCTCTGCCGAGCAGCCACGCAGACATCCCCTCCAGCGACCGAGCCGCGTAACTCTCACACACACACACACACAAGCACACTTTTGGGCGTCGCGGACTGGGCCTGACCTCAAGTCAATCGCCAGTCCCGCGGGGGGGGGGGTCGGAGGGGGAGGTCGGGGCGGGGGACCTGTAGGGGCGCCGCAAACGGCGACGGGGGTGGCGGGCGGGAGCGGGAGGGCGGGCGAAGGGGACGCAGGGAGGGGTGCGAGGAGCCCAGAGGGGGGAATCCGGACGGCGCGCGAGGGAGGCGCTGCGGCGTCGCCAATCTGCGCCCCCCCCCCCCCCCCACACTCACAAACACAACACACACACAAACACACACGAAGCGCGCGCGCCACACGCACACGCACACCGCACACACGCAACACGAACACACACACCACACGCACACACGCACCACACGCACACACGCACACACGCCACACACGCACACACGCAAACGCACACACGCACACACGCACACACGCACACAACGCCACACGCACACACGCAACACACGCACACACGCACACACGCACACACGCACACACGCACACACGGACACACGCAAACACGCACACGCACAACGCACACACGCCACACGCACACAGCACACACGCACACCGCACACACGCACACGCCACCACACCCACACCCCACCCACACCCACCACCACCCACACACACCACACGCACACACACGCACACACGCACACACGCACACACGCAACACACGCACACACGCACACCCACACCAACCCCACCCACCACCCCCCACACACACACACACACACACCACCACCACCACCACCACCACCACCACCACCAACAACATCACCACCACCACCAACAACAACAACAATAACACCAACCACACAAACAACAACAGCAACAACAACAAGAATACAACAACCCCAACAACAACAGCAGCAACAACAACACCACCAACAATCACAACAACAACAACCACAACCACCACAACAACAACAACAACAACAACAACAAGAACAAGAACAACAACAATACACAAGCACCCCCACACACACACACACACACACGCACGCGCACGCACACACACGCACACGCGCACGCACAAAAACGCACACGCACGCACACACGCACACAGGCACGCACACGCACGCGCGAACGCGAACGCGCACACACGAGCACACCAGCTCGCTGCGCGCTCCTGCCCGCTTCTGCACGGCCGGCGCGGCTGCATCCCCGGGCCGGGCTCCGACCACCACGGGGAAGGGCGAGCGCTCGGGAGGCGCCGGCGCCTCGAACCACACCGCCACGAACATGACCTGCCCTCCCCCAGGGGGCGGGAGGGGAGCTGACTCAGCGGGCGCAGAATGGCATAGAATAGACTTTTGCGTCGCCGGGGGTGCCTGTCCCAGGGCGGCTGGAAAGTTTATATCCTGACGTGCCACCGTTTGTGTATCGATGTTCTGCCCGCCCTTGGACATGCGTCCCCGAGGGCGAAAAAGTTCATGTCATACCGTTCGTCGCCCATGGACTGACAGCAGGAGGGTGAAGGGAAAGAACGAGAGGGGGTTGGGAGGGGGTGAAAAGGAGGGGCTGGAGAAGAATCGCAGTGAGACGAACCGCAGCCGCCCCCATCTCCTCCTCATCCATATCTCCTCCTCCGCCTCCCCTTCCTAGCCATTTTCGACTGGGGAGCCTCGGAGCAAGGACAGGTGGTTGACGGAGGTACGCGGGGCCTCGACAGCTCTGGTGCAGAGTGGGCCAAAGACTAGCCGTGGCGCAGATGTAGACGGGCCACGGTCAGGCTCGAGAGGAGATGGCGCTCCTGGTGATCAGCGCGTCGACGGTGTCTTGTGCGCCGCGCTACCCACTGAACAGCAGAGCAGCCCGAGGGTGGAGTTGCTCGCGTTCCTCATGCTGCTAGTGCTAGGTCGGCCCGGGATTTTGAGCAAAAAATAGCCAAACATGTATGGAAAACATGTTCAAAAGTAGTCCAACATTTTTTTCTGGCGCTGTTTTGGAGAGGAGGGAGGAAGAGGCGAAAGGGAGACAACGCACACGCCTGATCATTGTCCGACTCGTGCCGGGGAGTCGGCAGGCAACCCTGCCGCAGGACCGTCATCGCCCTTTCCTCCCGAAGGAGACCTGCAGGAAACCAGCTGGCGGCTGAGACGAACTGCTGTGACGAAAGTAGTCTAACAATAGTCCCCAGACTATTGCTGGTGCTATTTTTGAATGTTCCCCCTGTAGAGGGACGGGCCCGACTTGATGCTCGAAACATAAGCCGAACAATGTGCAAAACATGTTCAAAAGCAGTCAAAAAATAGTCCCCAGACTATTATTTTTGGTACTATTTTTGAACATTCCCCCTGTAGAGCTAGTGCACCGTGCAGGCGACATCGCGGCACTCGCACTGCCTTCCGTTGGGTGCGGGCCCCCTCCGGCGGCCCCGGGCCCCGGTCGCCAGAACAGCTCGACGAGGCTCGACCTCTCCGCCGCCGGGCTTGGGACTGCCTCGACAACCGGTCGGGCCGAAGTGCTCTTGACGAACACCCGCTCCACGGCGTGCATTACAGTAGTGGCGTTGACCTAAGGAACCCGAATGCGGGATGACGATTAATAAAGAAAATGGTAGAGAACGATTAAAAAAAAAAGTCTTCTGCGATTTCTGCATAATTTTCTGACTGGAGGAGAATGATGAAAAAAATCATCCAGCCCGCGGCCGGTTTGTTTCTAATCGTCATCCCGGGCGCCGCCGCGTGAACACGACCCCTGGCCATTTATTAATCGTCATCCTCCATTAAACAAGGAACGAGGCCTCTTTTTCCCATGCGTTAAACTTCGATGTCCCATCGAAACCCCAAGCAAAACCAAGGGCAAACTGCAAAACAACTAAGGAGCACCGAGCCCGTCCCTAACAAAAGTGCTGCTTCCTCAGCGCCCCGACTGTAGGGTTGCTTGAGGCCTCACGGAGATCGAACTCTTCGTGAAGTCGTGTGCTGGGCATGCTGCAGGTGCGGCAGTCGCCAGAGGTGGGGATGGCCCCAAGAATGTCCGGCTGGCCTCTGACGCAAATTTGATTACCTCCCGAATCCCACCAGCCCTTTGGGCGTGAGTGGTTTAGAGAGCCCGCTCTGTTCTCAACCCCCCTTCTTCCCCTTCGGGGAGGGGCTTACCCCTCCCCCTACCCCCTCCCCCTGGACCTGGAGAGGGAGCCCCGAGCAGTGTCAGGGGGGTCATTTTCAACTCCTGGGAGGGCCAAAAAACGACGACCCTCACGAGGATTCTTGCCCCGAATTGATTTTACGAAGGTTTTGGGCTCATTTTGTCCTCTTCAGGGGGCAGCTCTCACTGGCGCTTCTGAGGAGGTCGCACGAGGCCCCAAGAACTTCTGTTCGGGACAAACCAAGATCGACCCTAGGAGGCTCTCAGAGGCCTCCAAGAGGACCAGAGGCTCATGCGGTCCCCAGGGATCTTTTGCTCTCTATAGACAGCAGTCCAGCACCCCCCTTTCCCCCTGTATTGGGCCCCGCTTAGTTTAATTTGCGGACCCCCCCTAAGAGACCTCAAGATCTTTGTTGGGCCCCACAAAATGATTTATTTAGGTACCGCCCCGGAAGATGCTCCCCAGAGGCCCCCATTTCGCCACTTACGGACCGGGCGTTGTTTGCCCTCTTACAAGGTAGTTGGCCCCAAGAGCCCCAAGTTATGGTTACGCCCCCAAGAGGCCCCACGAGGAGCCCGAACGACTCACACCAGGACGAGGGGCCCGAACGACTCACACCACGAAGAGCCCGAACGACTGCTACTGCTACTGCTACTGGTACTGCTACTGCTAGTGCTGTTCCTCGTACTGCTTCTCGTACTACCACTACCAGTACTCGTACTACTACTGCTTCTACCACTACTACTTGTACGGGTACTACTACTGGTACTGTTACTGGTATTACGACGATTCCTACTTCTACGATATCTAGAGCTACTACTACTACGCCTCGAACTACTTATGTCATCACTCCATCTACTACACCTATACCTGCTACTACTACTATGACTACGACTACCACTACTACTCATACTGCTACTCCTCCTACTACGACACATACGAATACTACTTCTAGTAGAACTCATACTACTACTACTACTCCTACTACTACTACTACTATTCTTACTACTACTACAATACAACTACCACTACTACTACCACCACTACTACTCTAGCGAAGCATGCCGACCGTGGCGTGCTTCAGGCGTGTCTCCGCGTGCCCTCGCACATATCCCCTGTGTCTTCTTCCTCCTGCCACTTCGTCTATCTTCCTACACCTATCTTGTTGAGGGAGCGCAACAACGCTGCTGCCACGAGGGCGGGGCCAAGGGGGCAAGGAGAGAAACATGCATCACACCGACAAGTGGCGAGCCCGTAAGCGCGATGGCCGATATAATCTACTTCAGGTTTCGGCCCCATTTTGGCCGTCGGAGGGGGCAGCGCTCCTCTTCCTTCACAGCAAACCCATTGAGTTTACGAAGGTGTTGGGCTCATCTTGTCCTTCTCAGGGGGCAGCGCTCACTCGCGCTTCTGAGGAGGTCGCAAGAGGCCCCAAGCTGGCCCCAAGAGGCCCCCCGGAGGCTACCAAGAGGCCTCCAAGAGGCCCCCAAGACGCCCCCAAGAGGCCCCAAGAGGCCCCCAAGAGGCCCCCGAGAGGCCCCAAAGAGGCCCCAAGACGCCCCAAGAGGCCCCCAAGATGCCCCCAGGAGGCCCCCCAGAGGCCCCCAAGAGCCTCCAAGAGGCCCCCAAGAGGCCCCTCGAGGAGCCCGAACGACCCACCCCAGGACGAGGGGCCCCAACGATTCACACCACGAGGAGCCCGAACGACTCACACACAAGGAGGGGCCCGAGCGACTCACACCAGGACGAGCGGCCCGAACGACTCACACCACGAGGAGCCCGAACGACTCACACGCAAGGAGGCGCCCGAGCGACTCACACCCGGACGAGGGGCCCGAACGAGTCACACCACGAGGAGCCCGAACGACTCACACACAAGGAGGGGCCCGAACGACGCACACCAGGACGAGGGGCCCGAACGACTCACACCACGAGGAGCCCGACCGACTCACACACAATGAGGGGCCCGAAGCACTCACACAAGGAAGGACGAGGCCCCCAAGAGGCCCCACGAGGCCCCCACGACGCCCCCAAGAGGCCCCCAAGAGGCCCCAAGACGCCCCAAGAGGCCCCCAAGAGGCCCCCAAGAGGCCCCCAAGAGGCCCCCAACAGGCCCCCAACAGGCCCCAAGAGCCTCCAAGAGGCCCCCAAGAGGCCCCACGAGGAGCCCGAACGACCCACCCCAGGACGAGGGGCCCCAACGACTCACACCACGAGGAGCGCCCGAACGACTCACCCCAGCACGAGGAGGCCTTGTTCCTGCTTTTTGTTTTGTTTGATGGGCAAGGGCGGGTGCAGTTCAGCCAGCACGTTGCGCAACGCACGACGCGCCTACTGCGCACGAGCGCGGGAAACGAAGCATCGGAGGTTCGACTTCCAGGCCTGGCGAGGGCCCGATCGACCTCCAAAGAAAAAATCGCCTGACCTCTCACCCCCTTGACAGCGCGGGGAAAGGTTCAAACTCTGTCCGCTCTTTATGTGTTTTGTGGTACGTGTCTATGTGTGTGTGTGCGTGTGTGTGTGTGTGCGTGTGTGTGTGTGTGTGTGTGTGTGTGTGTGTGTGTGTTGTGTGTGTGTGTGTGTGTGTGTGTGTGTGTGTGTGTGTGTGTGTGTGTGTGTGTGTGTGTGGGTGTGTGTGTGTGTGTGTATGTGTGTAGTGTGTGTGTGTGTGTGTGTGTGTGTGTGTGTGTGTGTGTGTGTGTGTGTGTGACTTGTGTGTGGTGTGTGTGTGTGTGTGTGTGTTGAGTGTTCTGTGTGTGTGTGTGTGTGTGCATTGTTGTTTGTGTGTGTGTGTGTGGTGTGTACGTGTGTGTGTGTGTGTGTGTGTGTCGTGTGTGTGTGTGTGTGTGTGTGTGTGTGTGTAGTGTGTGTGTGTGTGTGTGTGTGTGTTGTGTGTGTGTTGTGTGTGTGTGTGTGTGTGTGTGTGTGTGTGTGTGTTGTGTGTGTGTGTGTGTCGTGTGTGTGTGTGTGTGTGTGTTGTTTTGGTTCTGTGGTTGCATGTATGTTGCGCGCATGTGTTTGAGGGACAGGGTGCCCGTAATTTCGCAGGGGGGGTGGGGGGGGGGGGGGGGGGGGGGGGGGGGGGGGGGGGGGGGGGGGGGGGCGGGGGTTGGGGGGGGGGGGCCGAGAGGGGGGGGGGGGGGGGGGGCGGGC